TAATTAAAAATGGAGTGAAGCAGGGGTGAGTACTTGCTCCTACCCTCTTTGAAATATACTTTTAGCTTCTTTTGACACATGCCTTTCGAGATCAGGAGGGTGGTATATTCATTCATTCTCGATCTGACGGCAGCCTTTACAATGCTCGCAGGCTGAAGGCCAAAACCAGGATAAGAAAGGTACTTATCAGAGAGATGCTGTTTGCAGATGATGCGCAATAACGACCCACTCAGAGGAGGAGCTGCAATGTTTACTATCTGCCTTTGCTGATGCTTGCTGTGAATGTGGACTAACAGTCAGCAAAAAGAAGACAAAAGTTATGGTGCAAGGTGTTAATGACAGTCCTACAGTCTACATTGATGGTGAAGAGCTTGAGACAGTAGACCGTTTCACATATCAGGGTTCCACAGTGAATAGTAAACTATTGCTGGACCAAGAAATCAACATCAGGATAAGAAAGGCAGCTCAACAATGAGCAGATTGACAAAGAGAATTTGGGAGAACAGAAAGCTCACAATTAAAACAAAAACCCTTGTCTATCAGGTTTGTGTTCTCAGCACTCTGCTTTATGGCAGTGAAACTTGGTCAACCTATTTGCACCAGGAGAAACGGCTTAATAGCTTTCACATGCGATGCCTAAGAAGAATACTTGGCATTAAGTGGCAAGACAAAATCACAAACACTGAGATACTGGAAAGAGCAGGTACTACAACTGTCGATTCCATGCTCAGTCTACCAAGGCTCAGGTGGCTGGGTCATACCTGGAGAATGGAGGATGGCAGAGTCCCTAAGGACATCCTTTATGGTGAATTAAAGACAGGAAGCTACGATATAAAGATGTGTGCAAGCGAGACAGGAATAATACAGGTATTGAGGTGGACTCATTGGAACAAAATGCCATGGACCGTGTTGTGTGGAAAGGGCATATCAGAAAGGGAATGAGACTGAAGGAAGAAATAATGCCAGAAAGGATGAGAGCTGAGCTTCTGAAAAGAAACAGATTAAACATAAATGTTGACAACAGTGGTCCTGAAATCCCATTCTTTAATTGTGGAAGACTTTTTTTGACACAGACGGGTCTTGCTAGTCACACTCGCCATCGCCACAGGCTGTAAGTCTCATGCCTCCTCACAAAATTTGGGGTGTACACTATTCACTACCTACGCAATTAAGACCATAAAAAGGGAATACTACACCAAAACATTGAGTTCATTTTCAAGCAGTCACTAATGGCGCTTCTATCACTAAATTGAAGGAATATTGCTTTTGGCCGATTGCAGGCAGGAAAAAGTCAAAGTCAGGTTGCCAGGCATCTAAACGTGCATCAGAGTACCATCAGTTGACTTTGACACCGGTTCCAAGCCACTGGTTCAGTTGAAGACCAACATTGCAGTGGACGACCCAGAGTGACAAGAGTAGCTGAGAATCGCTTTGTTTGGCTTTATCACCTCAGAGACAGGTTTACAACACTTTCCTCCAGGACGTCTTGTGTCTGATCAAATGTTTTGGAACAGACTGCATGACGTTGGACTGCCGGCACGACGATCAAGACGAGGACCGGCCCTTATACGTTGACACCACTAAAATGGACTTCTTTGTTTCAACCAGCATCGTTCCTGGGCTGGTGACAATCAGTGGAGACATGTCTGGTTCAATGATGAATCTTTATTTTTGTTGCAGCATCTTGAATAGATGTTGTAAAGTCTACCATAGGCGAAATGAAAGTTTAGCCCAAAAGTGTGTTGATGAAGCTCTGTTGCATATGGAGGTTTAATGGTCTGGGGAATGATTAGTTACAATGGAAGGAACCAATTGGTGCACATTGAAGGAAGCTTTAATGCACAAAAATACATCAGTGAAATTCTTTTACCATATGTCCTACTATTTTGGGATGCCAACAGCTATCTTTTTTAACAGGACAATGCCAGACCTCAATCTGCACGTTGACCACGCAATTCCTGGCTGCCAAATTTGTTCAAACCCTTCTCTGGCCATCCCTGTCTGTAGACATAAGTCCGATTGAGCACCTGTGGGATGAGCGGCAAAGACATGTTTGTTGCCGAGATGTTGCTCCAGCCAGTGGTGTGATCTGTTTCAGGCACTCTAGGAAGAGTTGGCAGCAATCCCACAGGCCCACATCATACATTTGATCGCATCCATGCCCAGGAGATGCCAGTCGTTGATCCACACCAGAGAAAGCCACACACCATGCTAACAGGAAAGGCTGTACGACTAGAAATTTTCATCACTAAGTTGCAAAAAATATATCAATTTATTGGTGGAACCAAGGTATTCTTGTGTGAAATTTGAGTAATTTTACTCATGGCACTACAAAGATGTAGCATGTTGAAATTGTGAGAATATATTTTCCTTTCAATAGCTATGTGTTCTTGTTGTTTTTGTTGTTGACAGTGTATATGGTTTTTAGAAGTAACATCACGTACAAGAATGCACACAGAGAAAGAAAGACTCTTTAGAAAAGTACCCATGTCTTTTTTTTTTTCTGGTGGTACACAAACGTATGCAGTACCAGCTCCCTTTTTTAGGTATAATCTTTTTAACTTTACTAGAATAGATGCTTTGTACCAGCACCTTCTTTTGTTTAGAAACTTATTAACCTAGTATCAATTGAAGCTCTGTTTATGTACAGAGTTATTAACAACAGCAATCAAACAATGACAGCTACAAAACAAAACTGCACAAGCACACAGCAGGAAGGCTTAAAATAACACAGGAAGAGGATTTCTCAGGATAAAGCAAAGGCAGTTATAGTAATAGCAGACAGTGTAGACTTCTTTGGAAAGCTAAAAAAGAGTAACCAATTCATTGTCTGAATTCAGTGTTTTTTATGTCTTCCATGCCTGCATGCATTTTTATTCAGCGATGCTTTATTGAGCCTTCCTTGCTTTGTAGTTTAATCACATGTGTAATCATGTTGGATAGATAACTTACGACTCATCCCTGCATTTAAATTTAAAGTGCCAGGGCAGTGTTTTTGACAAGTGACTAGAGCTACCAGCTTGATTTACATAAAATGAGTAGCAGGAAATATTCTGAGAAGTAAAAGCAGCTAGCAAGATGATGACAACATCCTCCATCAAATGCTGATAGAGTTTAGCAACATACTCTGATGTATCTACTGTTTTTTATTTTTTGTTTCCTTTATTTACAAAAAAAAAAATGGAAGTAGATCCAAATTAAAATATAGACCATTAGATTTTTTTAGACTTTAATTTCTGCCCATTTTTTGTAATGAAGGACAGTGATGAACATTCTGCTGGTTTAAACACATTTTTTGTAATGAAGGACAGTGATGAACATTCTGCTGGTTTAAACATATTTTTTGTAATGAAGGACAGTGATGAACATTCTGGTGGTTTAAACACATTTTTTGTAATGAAGGACAGTGATGAACATTCTGGTGGTTTAAACACATTTTTTTGTCATGAAGGACAGTGATGAACATTCTGCTGGTTTAAACACATTTTTTTGTCATGAAGGACAGTGATGAACATTCTGCTGGTTTAAACACATTTTTTGTAATGAAGGACAGTGATGAACATTCTGCTGGTTTAAACAAATTTGTTGTCATGAAGGACAGTGATGAACATTCTGCTGGTTTAAACAAATTTGTTGTCATGAAGGACAGTGATGAACATTCTGGTGGTTTAAACACATTTTTTTGTCATGAAGGACAGTGATGAACATTCTGCTGGTTTAAACACATTTTTTTGTCATGAAGGACAGTGATGAACATTCTGCTGGTTTAAACACATTTTTTTGTCATGAAGGACAGTGATGAACATTCTGCTGGTTTAAACAAATTTGTTGTCATGAAGGACAGTGATGAACATTCTGGTGGTTTAAACAAATTTGTTGTCATGAAGGACAGTGATGAACATTCTGCTGGTTTAAACACATTTTTTTGTCATGAAGGACAGTGATGAACATTCTGCTGGTTTAAACACATTTTTTTGTCATGAAGGACAGTGATGAACATTCTGCTGGTTTAAACACATTTTTTTGTCATGAAGGACAGTGATGAACATTCTGCTGGTTTAAACACATTTTTTTGTCATGAAGGACAGTGATGAACATTCTGCTGGTTTAAACAAATTTGTTGTCATGAAGGACAGTGATGAACATTCTGGTGGTTTAAACAAATTTGTTGTCATGAAGGACAGTGATGAACATTCTGCTGGTTTAAACAAATTTGTTGTCATGAAGGACAGTGATGAACATTCTGCTGGTTTAAACACATTTTTTTGTCATGAAGGACAGTGATGAACATTCTGGTGGTTTAAACACATTTTTTTGTCATGAAGGACAGTGATGAACATTCTGCTGGTTTAAACACATTTTTTGTAATGAAGGACAGTGACGAACATTCTGGTGGTTTAAACAAATTTGTTGTCATGAAGGACAGTGATGAACATTCTGCTGGTTTAAACACATTTTGTTGTCATGAAAGACAGTGATGAACATTCTGCTGGTTTAAAAAAATTTTTTTTTAGGGCGCAGGACCGAACAACTAGAGGATGACCCTTTGCTATGAAGTTGGAACTGCGATGACCTGATTACCTGCGTTTTTAACAAATGACATCAGCCTGAAATATTTCTATTTATTAGAGACATTCACTGTATTCAGAAATTTTTTTTTTTTATACTATCATGTCTTTTTACTGAGTGCGACTATAAAGTTTTTGTTGTTGTCTGTAACAGGTCACATTTAAAATGCTTGTAAACTTACTTCATATTTTTTTTTTTTTTTTTTTGGATAATGGTCCATGTTTGAGCTTTTTTAAATGTGTGAAGATCAAACATTTTAAAGTAAAATGTGTTGACTGAAATAAAAGATGAGCGATATTTGGGTTGTTGAGTCAGATATAAAGGCCTATTATGTATATATTGATAAAAGTACAAGCTGGCTTTGTAGAAAACAAAACAAGAAAAAAAAAAATTAGTTTCTGATATTACTGTTTTTTGCTTTTTCTTTTCAGAATGGATAGTCTACACACAAAATAGAGGCAGTGTCCGTAGTTTCTGCACCACCATATGCGAACACATCACAGAGGGAAATAAGCATATTCTGAATCCTCAAGGAAGCTGTATTGATCTCTTAATTGACTTTGGCACTGGACGTATTAATCTGGTGAAAACACTGGCAAAATTTTTTTGGGGCAAATATGCAGCAGTAAGTATTGTATTAAAGCAGCACATTTTTTCTTATTATAATTTTAATTTTTATGCTATTTTCCAATAAGCTAAAATGTAGACATTTTGCACACACATTTCGATAACAGTGCGGTATGGTGAAAAATATTGCGACAATTTTTGCTTCTCAGTGATCTTTTTTTTATGTCCAATATTTTATATGGCCGGTAAATAAAATACAAGGGAAATAATTATTCTACAAGGTAAATAATCTCCCAATTCTTTGTAATCAAATTTTATTGAGGTATACCTTTTTTCTGATAAAAATTGAGTAGTTTTTCACCCTCGATATTTGTACCCTAATAGTGACTTTTCATTTTGTTTGGTAGGGTTTTGTAAGGTATTATATAAATATATATTTATTGTAATTTGCTGTTAACTATTCAAAAGATACAATACTTTGCGACCACCTTTGCTCTTGCTATATTTTAAATGCTATTTAAAATATGGAGGAGGTGTTCCTTATTATCTTTTTCCTGTCCCTTTTAGGATGGAATTTTTCATTATTTGAAGCCCTACTCTGGCTCTTGCCAGGGGCCGCAATATAGCCTGGCCATAAATATGGCCTAAAGGCTGAACGCGGTTTCTGGGACCTCTCCACGGTGATCCTCACCCACATGGTGGCACATTGTGTCATCGGGTGTTTATCGCTTGTGTGATGACCCTGGTGGGGTAGAAAGTCAGTCAGTCAGTCAAAATATGGAGGTTCACCCTTTTTAGGATGACATTTTTTGTTATTTGAAGCCCTACCCTGGCTTTTGCCAGGGACCACAATATAGGCAGGCCATAAATATGGCCAATTGTCTGAACGTGGTTTCTGGGACCTGTCCACAGTGATCCACATCCATATGTGATGGCACTTTGTGTCATCGGGTGTTTATCGCTTGTGTGATGTCCTAGTGGGGTAGAAAGTCAGTCAGTTAAATGCCATTTCCTGGTAAGTTCATCCCCTTTTGTGTTATATGGATTCCCTATTTTGAAGCCCCATTCTGGCTTTTGCCAGGGGCCTTAAAAATGGCCTAACGGTTGAACAGGGTTTCTAGGATCTCTCCACAGGTAATCCTCATCTGCCTGGTGGTGCTTTGTGTCACTGGGTGTTTATCGCTTGTGTGATGTCCTGGTGTGGTAGAAGTTACATACCTACCTATCCCCTTATTTTACTTGTCATCCCTTTGTGGGATGCAATTTTTCGTTATTCTGAAGCCTCACCCTTGCTTTTGCCGGGGGTCCTAAATACAGCCCGGCCCTAAATATGACCTAACTGTTTAACACCGTTTCTTTGGTCTGAACTTTTCCAACTGTGTCTACAGGGACTGTTCAAATACTTTAGTTCCAGGTGCATTCCAGTTTAACTGCAGGTGTCAGATTGTCTAGACTGGACTAGAAGAATTGACCTGCCCTGAAGTGTCTCCGAGGCTGAGCCTTAAGCTGATCCAAAGAGCACAAACTACAGATGAATGGACATATCGGTCCAATGTCAATCCGGCACCATTTCTGTCTCCCAAGCAAGTCCAGTGATTAGGCTGACTTCTCCAATTAAATGTTACAGATATTAATTATTCCAGTTTGTATGTTCTTTTTTGTATGTCAGTGGGCAATAGTTAGTATATTTTAGTACATTTAAATATACAATTTATTAACAGTTGGGACTCAGATGTGGACAAACCCCAAATACTCTTCTTTAACCAGCAAGGCCAGGAGAAAGATAATTTTTTTTTAAATGTATCACTGTTTGAGATTCCCTCTGTAGACTACACACAGTGCATTTCCTAGAACAAAGCAATTTCTACGCCACATAATCCATCATTACTTGTTAAAATTAAATGTGTTTAAAGCTGTGGAAATGTTAGCAACAGGAAAATGCAAAGTGTATGTCATCTTAACAACATTACAGTAATGGAAAAAAGGACATAGCAGTGACATGTCTTCATCAGCAAAGAGTGACAACAGACAAACCACAACAACGTAAAACGAATATGGAAAATTACATTGAGGTGTCATAATAATCTGTAACTGTGCGAAAAAAAAAAAGAGCAAGTAGAATTAAATGAAACATGTTATGCCAGTAACTCACAATGTAAAACTTGGTTGACAAATGTCACTGTACTTGAAATAAACCTGTAAATGCTCTCTCTGTCTTTCTCAGCAGATAATAAAGTGCACTGTAGTTGACTTCCTATTTAACACAATCAATCAAGTGACATGCAATGCTACTTCGTTTTACAAGAACATTGCATTCATTGAAGGGTTATATATTTTTGCATTTAGGAACCTTTGCCAGAAAAACTAGATTGGCTGTCCAAAATTACGGGATTTCGAATCAGACTCAATCCAGATGTGACTGATGATGAAAGTACTTCAAGAGAAAGGGTCAGAGACAGAGAACTTGAATGTTTACTGAATATTGATGGAGAAGTAGTGCAAGTGAACAAGCCAGATATTGATATAAGGTATGTTCTTTATGTGTGTGTGTAATCTGACAACACCAGTAATATAAAACAGTAAGTAAGCAGTAAGCTTAGCAGTGTTGCATACCAAGTCTGAGATGATTCGGCCGTGTCCTTTGTTTGTAATATGTCTAGATTCAAATAGTTTTATTAGATTTGTGCAGTCTTCTTCTTTGTGTAGTTAACAATGGTTTTTAGATGTAGAGAATTATCCGAGACAAATGATTAGATGCATAATCTAAATTAGATCTTGGGCAAAATGAACATAAAGAGAGGATATTAATAAATATTTTTTTTAGGCAAAAGGAAAACAAATCTACAGCCATTGCCTAGTGGAATAATGACAGTTACAGAAGAAGGCAGATTATTTCATTTGTAACTTCCTCTCTTAAAATAAAAATGAAAAACTAATAAAGTACAACCAAAAACATTGAAGCTTCTTTAAGTAATTAGTTACTCTTTCCTCTTGAGCCTAGGGTGGCACATAGGGCAGAGATTATAGCTCTCCATGTCTTGTGGTTCATTGCCACTTGTTTTAGGTCTTGGATGTTTATTAGTAAGCTAGTCTTTCCTCTTAAGCCTAGGGTGGCGCATAGGGCAGAGATCATAGCTCTGTATATCTGGTGGTTCGTTGTCACTTGTTTTAAGTCTGGGATGTTTATTAGGCTCATGGTTGAGCCTTTCCTGATGATGGTTCTATACCAGGTCTCTCTTGGTCTTCCCTATTTTCTTTATGAGCCTGAAAAATGTATTTACTAATTATGTGAGAGTATAGTCATTTTTTCATGTGACATAGCAGAGCTGAGTAGTACCCAGAGAACCAACATTTTTAATTCAAACAAAGAATACCTGTTAGTTTTTCAGTGCAATAACAGTAAAAAAAAAAAATTTTTAAAGCAAATGATCGAGTTTAGAGAAAGGAACTCCCAGTAAAGGTTACAGAATAGAAATACATAGCAAGATAAAATTGTAGCCAAGGTGTATTGAAATGAAATGCAGGGATGGCAGTTTTTATTGACAGTCCTGAGTCCATCAGAAATATGTTCTAACCCCACTGCTGTTGATCACACACATAGATCAGTAAAGCATCCTAAGTTAATTAGGGCGATAAGTGTGGTGATCTCTTTTATTGCAGATGACCAAGCTCTCATAGTAACTGCAGAGGAAGAGCTATATTTGTGTATAGCCAACTTATCATGTCTGACTACTTCAGTTAATGACAAACTGCATTTATGGTGGAGACTGTTGGTTTTGGCACCTCTAGCAACTGCCATATGCATTTACTGCATGCACATTGTTTGTTCACCAGTTTTGCAAAGGAGACAGTGAAAGACCTTGAATTTGATTTGCACTGGCACAGGAATGGAGCAAATATGGAAAAACCTGATTGCAGTTGAATTCTCGACTAAGACTAAGTGGAAGCAGAGCTATAAGATGACCACCTGACAGTACCCCAGTGGAATTAGTATCTATGGCCACACAAGCGATGGATAGATAGAATATTCAAGGTCATAAATACCAGCATCTAAGTAGCACATACTAATGCCTGCACCTTTTTATATAATTAAGTGCCTTGCCGACTGGCGTGGCCGATCATGCCTCTCCACAATCTGCGATCCGCAGCTGCGTGTATCAGTTTGTGTGTTGATATCCCTACATGCCATTAAAAAAGTCGTCAAGAATCTTCTCGCGTTGCCTTCCTCTGACTTTCTTTCCACAAGTCTCTCCAGTGATTACATTTTCCATTTCCCCTCTTCTTATAATATGATTAAAAAAAATAATGAATATCTCTTTCTGATGTTTTTGGTAAGTTGTCTTTGAGCACCTGCCTCTTTCAAAACACACGGACTCCTCTTCCTAGCTGTCTGAGGAATTCTAAGAATTCTTCTGTAAAACCATATCTCCAAGGCCTCTAGATATTGTACAGCTTATTTGTTTTGTTGTCCAGGATTCACAGCTGTATGTTAAAACTGGCTCTATATAGCTTGCAAGCATTTTTTTGTTCTAATCTTCAATGATATGGATTTATTTCACAATATGTTCTTCATTTTATAAAAAGCAGTTTTGACCTGTCCTTTTCTGTTTTTATCTCTGTGATACATCTTCCAACAGATGTTATCCATGTGCCCAGACTTACATTTCTGTACTTGTCCTAAAATAACACTGTTGATTCTTACACATTCAGGCACTATTCTTTTTTTTTAGGTAGGAAATCACCATTACTTTTGTCTTCTCATTATTCAAACTGAGGCCCATCTTATCACTCTCTACCGCCACCATATCTATTAATTCTTGTAGTTCTTTCTGACTTGTTGCTATCAAGATGGATTCGTCAGCAAAACGCAGGTTGTTTATGTTATGACCACCAACCACAATTCCTGGCATATCCATGATATCTCTCATTATATATTCACTGTACAATGAAAACAAATCAAGTGATAGTACACATCCTTGTCATACTCCCCCTCTTTATGCCCTGAAATATTTCTAAATGGTTGTCAATTCTTATAGATGCTGTCTGCTGCCAAATACATGTTCATTAAATTCATAAGTATTTTCCATCAATGTTTAACATTTCCAACAGTTTAATTATTTCTTCATGTTTCACAATCAGTTGCTTTCACGTGGTTAATGAAGAATAAGTAAAGAACCTTTTTTTTTCTATAGCTCTTTCCAAAAGAGTCCTGAGGATGTATATGGTGTTGTTTGTACCGTTGCCTTCTACAAATCCACACTGTTCTTCGCTAATTTGTAGCTTAGTCTTGTTTCTTATTCTTCTCATAATTATTCTCGGTAACATTTTTGTCATAGACTCATAAGACTTATGGTGTGCTAATCTTCACATTTTAATGTGCCTGGTTTCTTTAGGCAGAGCAATAAATATATTTTTTTTTTAGGAATATCATCATCATCATCAGGCGTGGACGATCATGCCTCTCCATAATTTGCGATCTCCTGCAGCATGTATCAGTTCGTGTGCCGACACACCTCCATGCCATGCAACAAGACTGTCAAGCATCTTCTCTCGTTGTCTTCCTCCATCCCTCCTTGCACAGATCTTTCCAGTGGTCACAACATGTTCTATTTTCCCTCTTCCCATAACATGGCCGAAAAATGATGACTGTCTCCTTCTGATGTCTGTGATAAGTTGTCTTCGGGCTCCCGCCTCTTTCAAAACCTCTTGGTTGCTCTTTTTGGCTGTCCAAGGTATTCTAAGCATTCTTCTGTAAAACCACATCTCTGAGGTCTCTAGAAATTGTTTGGCCTGCCTACCGATTGTCCAGGATTCACATCCTTATGTTAAAACTGTAAAAAAAAATTAGAATAAAACTAAAGAACATTGGAAAAACACCACAGAACATCAAGTTAAATTTAGGAATTTTTAGAACGGATAAAGAAATTAAGGACCAGTACAATGTCACTGTACAAAACCGGTATAATGCAATGGAAATTATACAGACTATTTATGAACAGTGGGATATGTTGCGTGAGTCAATTTAGGAATTAGGAATATACCCACTATTTTAAATGTCATTTAACATTTTTGTTATTATTTCAATTCCAAAATATCCCAAAAGCTTCAATTTCTTCCAATGTGATGTTGTCTGGCCAAGGTGCCTTTCCTTTCTTCATGTGACGCAATGCATCCTCACCTACTCAAACTGTTGTCCTGCAAATATGCTTCTTGTCTATTATCATTCAGATCCCCAAATACTCGATTTTAAACACATCACTGATGTTACATCTCTTCTTCCCTGTAAATATACTTATCTGCTGGTGCAAGAAATGTGAGTCTTTCCCTTGATTTTTCCCCAATCTCTATGCACATCTGATTCAGCCGGGTTTCTTTAGCATCTTCACATTTGTTTACTATTTCTTTGTGTGTATTAGAACATTCTTCATCATTCTTTTTTCTTTCTTCTCTCATCCATCATTCTGCAGACTTTCATTTGTCGTCCAAATCATTTTTGGGGACTTTATGTGTTAGAGAAATAAGCTTTTTTGATGTCTGCTGAATTGACTCGCGCAGCATATCCCATTGTTTGTGTATTTCCATGGCGTTATATCTGTTTTGCACAGTGACACTATACTGTTCCTTAATATTTTTATTCTTTTTAAGTATTCCTAAATTTAACTTGATATTCTATGGGGTCTTCTCTAAAGTATTCAGTTTTATTCTAATTTTTCCTATAACTGGAACATGATCACTATAGCAGTCTGCTCCTGGTCTAGTCTTTGCTGCAATTAAACGACTCCTGGATATTTTTGAAATCAGTATATAATCAATCTGACAACAGAAATTATCGACACTTCCAACATTTGCACTGAAATCGCCCATCATTATTGTTACTTCAGAATTATCACACTGATCCAAAGCCATGTCTAAATCATTTTAAAATTCATCATTGCCGTCTTCTGAGCTTTCTGCAGTTGGTGCATTCGCCTGCACCAGGTTTATATCTTGTGGTTTGCTATAGATCTTTTTACTAATAACACCCTGTCTGAAATATTTTAAATATCTTTCAACAGTTTTCACATATCGTGGGTCCAGAATGATACCCACACCATTTTTATATTCCCTCGTACTTGAGTAAATAATTTTGTGCTATAAATACATACATACACCCGATACCTTTCATTTGTCTTTTTTCTTATAGTTTTCATGAGCGATATTGTAAAACCAGCCCTGGCATGACCCAAGTGGAATTTGTATCTCCATCCCTACTATTCTCATTATTCTTTATCATTAAAAAAAAAACATATTAACTGCCTCCATTTTCTTAACATTTTATTACAAATTGTCCAACATTCACATTTAAACAAAAGAAAAGACTCATACAGCATTTGAAAAAGCATATTTTTGTACTTTTACTAACACTTTTTTTAGTTACATCATTCATTCCTATAAAATAATCTTAATATTTTAATTTTTTCTTTAACTCTATGTCATAAATTCCATCAGATATCAGTGTGTATCCTTGATATTGAATGCATGTGATGAG